AGAAGGAGAAGGAGAAGGAGAAGGAGAAGGAGAAGGAGAAGGAGAAGGAGAAGGAGAAGGAGAAGGAGAAGGAGAAGGAGAAGGAGAAGAAGTTTATTTCAGATCGCAGCTCGTAGAGGTCTCAGTCCCAAGTCAGCCGGGGCCAAGGCAGGCAGCACAGCAGAAGGGCATCACAGAGGACAAACAGTCCATGGCAGGGTTGCAGAAAGTAGCGAGGGACCAAGGAGGGAGGAGGGAGAACGACCCTTCCAGGCCATGACCCCAGTGACCACCTCCTCCCTCCAGGCTCCCCCTTCCAATGTCACATTTAGCTATAAATATGTCAGTGAGCTAATCCACTGGGGAGAATCATACCTCCCTGACTGACTCGCCTCCCCCAAACCCCACCTTGTGAGCGCCTGAGGTTTGGGGAAAGCGTCTGCATACAAGTCATCACGCAGCCCGAGAAGCTCCAATTGTAGCCCATCTCCAGCTCTGTTAGGCATGAATGGTGTGCAGCCATTTGCTCCCTTCTGGATATGTGATAGGGTTCTTCTCATGCACTGGGGTGGGTCATGTGACATTCTAGCCAATGGGCAGTTAGAAGAGCTGTGTCATTTCTCAGTCAGAGGACGGAATTGCTAAAATGACACCCTCCAGTGACCTGGGACATTCAGCGAATGGCTGCTTTGTCACCTGGGTTGTGAAGGATCTAGGAAAAAATTCTTCAGGTAACCTGGGATAGGTGTTAATGAGAACTAAGATTATCCATTGATACCTGCTGGGGATTGCTTGCAGGATCCCCCACAGATACCAAAATCTATAGATGCCCAAGAGATATATATCTATATCTATCTATCTATCTATCTATCTATCTATCTATCTATCTATCTCCACAAGGTGGTGTTTGCATAGAACCTATACACATCCTTCTGTATGCTCGAAATCACCTCTAGAGAAGTGGGCTACCCACTACCCACGACTGTGCCACAGTGTGGAAGTGGCCACTGCACTGCATTGCGTAGGGGAAGTGAGGAGAAAAGCTTGCCCACGTCCAGGGTGGATGCCACGTTTCACAGGTGCTTCCAGCCCAAGATGGGTTCACTTGTGGTGCGAGTGGCTGACTGTGCTTTCGTGTCACATTAGGCCACCAGGAGTTTGGTACCACTTGTTACGGCAGTCTAGCCTCACTTGTGCAGCCTGATGCAAAGTCACCCACAGTGTAGCCTGCATGTCCAGCCAAAGACTCTAGGCTAGTTTTGTTTTGTTTTTGCCATAACGAAGTATGACAGTGGCTGAAATAACAAAATGCATTGCTTTTGACCAGTGTGACTGTGTATGCTTGCGATTCCTCTAGGAGCTAAGGCAGGAACATCTCAACTTCACGCTCGCCTGGAAAATCTAGCAACTTCCTGAGACGCTGTTAAAAAAAAAAAAAAAAAAAAAAAAACTTCAATGCCAGCACTGGAGAAGCCGAGGCAGGAAGACCATTGTGAGTTCAAGACCAAGCTGGGCTATAAAGTGAGCTCTAGGCCCACCTGAACTGCATAGTGAGAACTTGTCTCAAAAAGACAGACAGACAGACAGACAGACAGACAGACAGACAGACAGAAAGAAAGGGAGGGAGGGAAGGCTGGGAGAGTTAGTTTAGTGTGGAGGTACTGGGTTCAATTTCAAGTAACAAACACACACACACACACACACACACACACACACACACAGTCTTGCTGTTCTAGAAGCTAGGAGTCCAAGAAGGTATTCAAGGGATGCTTCTTTGGGGGGGCTTTGAGGGGGAATCTTTTCTGTGCTGTCCTCTGGCCACTGGTATCTTCAGGTGCTCCTTGGCTTATAGGCTTCATCCTTCCTGTGTCTTCTCTCTGTGTGTCCAGATTTCCTTTTTTCCAAGGACACAGTCCTCGTGGCTAGGACCCACTCTGATGACCTCATTTTATTTTACTTTACTGCCTCATTTTAGCTTGAGAGCCTCTTTTCAAACCCCTGAGCAGCTTGGTAGGTGGTACAATTCAGATCATCAAGGCTCTGTCCTAACTCTACAATGCTGGGAGTCCAGCCTGCTCAGCCATGTCCAGAGACATGGCAGGAGGAGGTGGGTGCCAGCCAGAGCAGGCCAAAGCCCGGAGCACCATAAGGTGGGCTGCTAGGTTTGTAGGACTTTCCTTGTGAGGACTGAGGGCTTCCCCAAGATCAGAAATTCCAGCCAATCCTCTTCCTGGGACTAGTGCAGCAGGGCTGCAAATCAGGCTTGTGAGTAGAAATTCTGCAGGTGTCTGGCAGTGTAGCTCAGTGGTAGGACTCTGGCTTGGCATGAGTGGGGCCCTGTGTCCCTTCCTCAGCCCTTGAAGGGCGATACAAATCTTGGCTTCATCTCATAGCAATTTGTTACCAAGCTGACTTTCTAAGACTCAGTTTTCTTTGTATAAAATGTGACAATGAACCTGCGCATGAGAGTGCACCCCTGTAACCCCATTCCTTAGGAGGCTGAAGCAGGAGGCTAGTGTAAGCTACGTGGAGAGTTCAAGGCTAGCCTGCGGTACATTATGAGACCCTGTCTCAGTAAATAGACAAATAACCAAGTAGTATAGCAAAACCTTTCCAGTAGAGGCAACTACTGGAAAGGGAAACTCTTCAGACAGCCTGAAGAGGCTATATTGAACAAAGCACAAACAGCAAAGGGCTTGGGGACAGGAATGAGCAGTGAGGATGAACAGAAAGAACATTAGTGCCATGCGGGCAGCAGGGCAAAGTCGCAGCGAAGCACCATCAAGAGGGAGACGCTGACGGTGCACGTGTCAGGGTGAATTTTCAGCTCAGTGAGGAACTGACCCCCAAGCCCAGCCACCTGCAGAGGACGTAGATGTTGGAGTCTCAGTGAACGGCAGAAGGGGCCACGGCAGCACCTTGGACAGCATCCTCGCTGTCCGTGGTGCTGATGGCCAAAAACAAGGATGGCTGGTGGGACTGAAAAACAGTGAGTTCCAAGTGGAAGACCGTAGGATTACCATAGAATCCAGTAATTCCTCTCCTGAGAGTATTCCCACAGGACCTGCAAGCTGAAACGCAGGTACTTACGCACCAACGTTCACAGCAGCACGATTCTCAATAATGAAAGGTGGGAGCAAGCCAAGTGCTCGTCAGTGGGTGAACCAATAAAAGTGCTCCATCCACGCACTGGAATGGCACTCAGCCATGGAAGGGAAGGGCGTTCCCAGACACATTACACGAGCGCAGAATCTCAGGACACGATGCTTTGTGAAAGAGGTCAGATGCAAAAGGACACACCTTCAGAATTCTGCCCTCGGGAGGTGCCTGGAGTCATCAGATCCACCAGGCACGGAAGTAGAAGGGTAGGTGCCAGGGCCTGGGAAGGAGAATGGGGAGCTTCTGTTTCATGAGGACAGAATTTCAGTTTGGGAAGATGAGAAAGCTCTGAAGGTGGAGAGGTGGCCCTCACACAGTAATGCAAATGTCCTAAATGCCACTCAACCATTCATTCATTGATTCATTGGACAGATTTTCCCATGCAGTTCAAGTTGAACTCACTGTGTAGTCCAGGCTGCCCTTGAACTCTTTGCAATCCTCCTGCCTCAGCCTGGGATTTCGGAGCGAACTCTGCATTTAAAAATGCCTTAAACGGTGTATTTTGTGTTTTGTATATTTCACAACGTATACAGTCTTAAAGAAGTCTTCCAAGGCTCCCAGTCACTCTCAGGTGGTCCTTCGACATGACCCCACTGTGGGCCCAGCATACAGTGGGGAGGTCCTGACCTGGACCTCCAGAGGCCCAGGCTGGAGTCTCATACCCCTAACAAGGCAGACTCTATGGCCATCCCCACGCTATAGGGGAGGCCACCAAGGCTCAAAAGGCTCACTTCTGAGACTAGAGCTTCCAGTCTGAGCTCTTCACTAAGAGCTGAGACAGATCTCAGAGTGCAGAGGGGACCTGCCCATTCTGCATGACCTCAGCAGAACACACAGTAGGGACAGTAAGTGAATCCCTAAGATGCACTCTCACACCCCGAGGTGGGAGGTCTCTGAGAGTCCTCCCTGGAGGAGAGAGGTCCGGCCACTAGGAAGGGCTTGGCAATGTGCACAGCACCACACCCAGCACTTGTGCACAGTAGGGCTGATCCAGGGACCTGACCAGGAAATTAGGAGCAGGAGATGGACCACCCCCCAGAACATCCCTGGGCCTGGGTGTGGAGAAGAGGCCTGTTCTGAAGCCAGCAGTGCACTGGGGCACACAGGAGTTGTCACCATGAGAGACAGGCTCCATGTCATTTCAGACACTAGCCCCAGCCATTCTGAGCACCAGAGGTCTGGTGAGGAGCACCCCCCCCCAAAGACAACACCAGCCCACTCCCAAGAGGGGACAGTTTATTGGGGGCACAGTTGGTCAAGGGCAATCAGTGCAGTGCTGCCCGCCCCACAGGGCTGGGCAGGTTAGTCCAGTGTGTGGGCCCTGGGTGCTGTGGGAGGCCAGGAGGAATCACAGGAGTAGCAGCAGGCGAGGGGAGAAGGCTCCCCTGCAGGCCTCCCTCAGTGCAGCTCAGGGGCAGGGGACCTGGCGAGGCCCTCAGGCATCAGTGCCTAAGCTGGGAGGCTCCTGGGGCAGACACCGCCGGTGCCGGAGGATCGACTTTTCCTCCTCCTGTGGGGACAGGCCACGCATGTGTGTCACCAGGCATGCTACCATCCATGAAACCACTGAGCATGAATCAGCCATGCTACCCAACACCAGGGCCACCCAGCACAGGGCTTTTCCTTGTCAGCCAGAACAGCACCTCCCAGCCTGCCCGCCCCAATAAACCCTGCTTCATCTGGGGATCAACAAGTTGCTCCATGTGTCGTTTCAGGAGTGGCTGGGGCTGTCCTTCATGACAGGTTGCCCAGCACGGTGACATGAACACACTGTGCTACCCTTGTGGTATCTTCTATGCCATCTCTGACTTGTGTGGGGGCTACTCAGGATCTCAGGCCCGTGTCATCAAGAACATGCCCTGTGTCACCCAGCACCTGCCACACGGGACCTCACTGCAGACCTCCGGACTGCCCCTGCTCACCACCTCCGAGGCAGTGCTAGGGCTGGCACCCTCGGGAGAACCTCCTTCGTCCCTCGAGCAGTCTGGTCCCGCATCCTCCTCATACTCTGTCAGGCAATCTGATTCTTCTCCTGGAGTGGGGAGCAGGGTACGGGTGAGGGGTGCAAGCTGACAACAGTATCTCCAGTCATGCCTCACCAGCCCTGGCTCGAGACTCCCACGGCCCCTCACCATCGGCACAGCCATCGGAGACATAGCTCGTTGTCGGGGGCTCAATCCGGGACACAATCTCCGCCAAGTCGGTGAAGCCGGAGCTGGGGAAGGCGAGTACCTGTGGGGTGCATTGGGGAGGCCTGGGCCTTGAGGTTCAGAAGGGATCCTGGGGCAGTGCCTTTGGGGATAGCCACGAGTGAAGGGGCTCAGCGTAACCCAGGGCATCTGAAGTCTGCGGGAGCCAGAACCCTAACAGTGGCGGTGGAGATGGCGGGCCGCGAGCTTACATCTGCGCGGCGGCTCTCATTGAGGTCTGTGGACCTCCGGTCTGTGAGCATTTTCTCAATGACGTCGCCCCGGGTCCAGCCTCCAAACACTGCCTTCCCGTACTGGTAGCCCACGTCCTGCAGGAAGCAAGGTAGCTGCAGCTGGGCCTGCCACCTGTACACCCCCTTGCAGAGCCCTTTCTGTGTCCCCTCACGTGGCCCAGGCTTCAGGAGAACAAGTTTCTGAGATTAAACCTGCTGTGGAGCCAGCCGTTCCTAGTGCCTCAGCCCCATGTCTCGTCTGCCCCCTGCTGGACATTACTGACAATCGCTACTTCCCACCCAGCTCCCTGCGGTGACACACACCAAAGGTCACCAGGGGGTGGTGCTCAAACTTATTTCCAGGTCTGCAGATAATGCCATCTCCCAAGCCCCCGGCAGACACCACTAATCTGTCACAGCACACTTGCCCGGTGGTCCTGAAAAGGACATTGGATATTTCTACTCGGTTCTCTGGGCAGTATCTGCTGATCAATTTCAGTTGTCTCGAGCTGTCACTGTTCCAGCCCCCTCCCAGACATTGCTAACTGATCACTGCTCTCACTCCATGCATGCAGGAATGTCATTAGAAATCATTATCAGTGGCTTTGGGCAGCACAGCTGGCACACAACAAGAAACTCAGCTTAAGCACAGAGCACAGGCAGCACATTCCCATGCCATACCCACTGCAGATATCACTAACGGACCACTGACCCATATGCCACATCTACTGCAGACATCACTAGTCAACCACTGATCCATTTCCGGCAGGTTTTGGATGGAACCCTAGAATCCTATCCCTCCTACTGTTCTAGGGTTCAAATAGTAAAACTCTTTGGCTCACATAGATCTGGTCGAACTTCCCAAAGTCCATGGTCTTGAAGCAGTCGATGGGGGGGCGCAGGTACTCGCAATAGGAGCTGGATTTCACAACCTCCAGTTGCCGTACACAGGACACATATGCCAGGCGGGACTGGATCTCGGCCATATCGGGAACCTTCACCTTGTGTGCCCAGGGGTTGAGCCGCTTCCACAGCAGCCACCAGCCAGACAGGCTGTCTCCATAGGTGCTGAGGTCCGTCTCATCCTGGCTCCCCACATCAATGGCGATGACCGTTTTAGCGCCCATGCTGCGTGCGATGTCCGCTGTGGGGCCGGGGGGTCAGCGGCTGCTCCCCACCGGGGCCCAGGGCAAGGTTGTTCAACCCAGTCCCAGACACCATCATGCAAATAGCCACACAAGAAACTCATGCAAATGACACACATTCATGCAAATGATATGGAAACCAATGCAAATGAAGCCCGGGGGGTGGGGTGAGGGCCCAGCATGGAGAGGCTTGTGTCTGTGTGCCTATATTTATAGTCTGTGAGACCCAGACAGTGTACCCTACATGAGCCTGGGGAAACAAAGACAGTGTCCTGTAGTCAGGAGACACCTGAGCCTCCCATCTGACTTTGCACACGTATGCCTTATGTGCTTATTTCTTTCTGGGTGCGTGGGTCATGTTCATGGGCCTGTGGTGCCCCATCATGTCCCTCCTGTCCAGAGCACTGTGTTCGTGAGCCACGGCGTCTCTGCAGACACACCCAGATCTGTGTGCGCCGAGGCTCGCAGGTAGCTGTTTCCATGCCTGAGTGCTGTGTGTGCCACCCACCTCTGGCCTGCACAGCCCGCTCATGTGTGGGGCTGCAGCAGGGCGTGCATCTGCAGGCACCCCTTGGAGCAACAGGGATGGGCAAGCCCTTCCAGGGCCCAAGCGCAGAAGTGCAGCTTTGCGGGCCACAGCCTTGCTGCCAACACTTCCACTCTGCTGCTGCAGCTCAAAAGCAGCCTCACAGAGCCTCAGTGAATCTTTATAAAATCGAGCAGAGGCCAAGCTTTGCCTTAGGTCTGTCCTGGAGCTACTTGCCAGCTCCTGTCCACAGAATGTGAGTGGGTACCCAGGTGACTTATGCCCCTATCTGCACACTCACGCTTCCGGCTGTGAGCCGGGCAGGTTGTGTCCCTGCCTACCTCACGCCGGCACTGATAAAGGCTGGGCACACAGGGTCCCCCTCCTGCCTGCATGCATATGTGTGCATGTGGGACAGGACACACAGGGCCAGTGTGGGTGCACCATGGTGCGGTGTGTGTCTGGTTTCCACAGTGCACACATTCCACTGTGTGTACATCCCTCGTCCACATGAGCAGGGGAGAACACATCTGCAGGCATGTCTGGGGTGCATGCAGGAAAGTGTCCGGCTCCTTGATGTGTACATGTGTGTCTGTGCACAGACCCGTGTCCCCCTTGTACGTGCCGTCCAATTGTCACGGGCACAGATGCACTCTGCACCTGCACCCACCTCACTCTGAGGGATGGCCCCGCATCTGCTGGGCGCACCCGCAGGCATGCATCTGCAGCTCTGCACAGGTAGCTTGTGCGCCCGCCCCCTGCCCACCACGTCCACATGTACCCGCCTGCTCCTGTGTGCGCCTGCGTGTGCGTGGGCCTGCGTGTGCAGGAGCATGCGGGTAACCACTTGCCTGGCAGGTTGTTGATGTAGCCGCCGTCCATGAGCAGGTGCCCGTCCTTTGGGTCACACAGCGGGGGCAGGTAGCCTGAGAGCGTCATGCTGGCACGCACATATCGCCACAGAGAGCCTGGCCGGTGGGACACATGGACACAAACGCACACAGACACACTCAGACACGCTCTGAGGCCCTGCCAGCCCCATGGGCTCGCTGACCTGGCACGTTGTTAACGTAGCACCCGTCCACCAGCAGGTGCCCATCCTTGGGGTCGCAGAGCGGGGGCAGGTAGGGGCAGTAGGAGGCACTGGCCCGGACATAACGCCACACAGAGCCTGTGGGGACGGGGCAGGGGGTAAGGCGCCCACAGAGCCTCCCAGGTCCCCACCCCTGAGAATGGACATACCTGGGGTCTCTAGGGCATTAGTGGGTGACGGTTAGTGGTCGGCGGCTGGGCCACAGTGGACGGTCACTCGTGTTAACAACGTCCCAGATGCTCAGTTGCCCTCCCTGAGTTGCCCTCCCACCCCCACGCTGCCACAGCGGTTCTAGCAGCTCAGGCAAAGTGGCACCCACCATCTTTGTGGACACGCATGGCCGAGGCGGTGATGTCTGTGGTCACGTTGAAGTACGGCAGCCACAGGTCCTATGGGCACAGGGACCATGGCAGGCAAAGGAAGGAGAGGGACACTAGCGGGAGGGCTGGGCAGGGCGGAAGTGGGGTGGGTGTACCTCAATCTGCTTATCCTGGAAGACGCGGTGGATGCTGCGATTAAAGGCCGAGCCCGTGAACATGGAGGTGACAGGGTATGTGAGGTCCAGCACAGGCTCCAGGACAGAAGTCATGCTCTAGGGAAAAGGGGGCAGCAGGGTCAGAATGGAGCCACTTTGGAGCACACAGGATGGTGACGTGGTCACCCGGGACCACAAACGAGATGGTCACGGAGGGGGGCCTTGACTGTCCTAGCTGGGACCTCGGGACCACGGTCGCCAGCAGAAGACACACAAGGGTCCAGGCAGGGTTCACAGATTAAAGCAGGAAGCATCACCCGAGGCAGGAAGCCTTCCCACCCCCAGAATCAGGGCTCCAAGTGTTCCTGGGGTGCGGCCACCCGCCCCCAACCCACACCTTGGCCCATTCCCGGGCCCGTTGCTTGGTACGGCTGGCGCTGCGCTCTTCTGCGTACAAAGCCCCGATGAAGGAGCCTATGGACGTGCCGCCCACCAGGTCCACTGGCACGCCGGCCTCCTCCAGCGCCTTCAGCACTCCGATGTGCGAGCAGCCCCTGCAAGGAGGAGGGGACCCAGCGACCAGCTGAGAATCTTCTAGGCCCTGCCTCCAGGAGCGTCCCGCTCCTCCTACCAACCCATAGCCAGGGGACCAGGCGCATGCCCCATCCTCCATCCTCGGGGTCCTTCCCTGGGAGCCAACGCCACCACTCAGGCACTTGGCCTTGCTCCCAGCGGGCCCACACCTCACCTGGCTCCTCCTCCGCCCAGCACCAGGGCAATAGTGTTTCCCGTGAGCACCCGCGCCAAACGGGAGAAGTCGCTGTGCCGGTCCGCTCGTCTGGAGAAGACTTTCTCATAGAGCTCATGCTGGGATAAGGAGAAAACGGGGACCCTTGAGTATGGAAAGGTGAGCACCAGGCCTAATGGATCCCCTAGACACATCCTGACCTGCCCGGGCTTGAGGTCCCACTCCACCCGAGCCATGCCCCCAGAAGGCGGGGCCGAGAGGGGTCTCCTCCCCACCCCCTCACCAATTTGGCTGGGCTGCGGCGCGAGAAGAGGCGGCGAGGGCAACGCAGGTGCAGGTGCCCGGAGCACCAGCTGCGCATGTTGAGCCACTCCACAGTGCGCGTGGGACCCGGGCCCTCTTCCCGGTGCAGCAGGACGAGCTGCTTGAGGGCACGCACAGCCGTGTTTTCCAGCATCTGCTCCAGCTGCAGAAGGGAGAACAAGGTTCACTAGTCCTCCCCACCACATCTGGCCACAATGGGGTCGATGGAGGCCTGGCCTTATGGCAGGAGTGCATGTGGACATGTGGACAGGGTGCTGCAGCGGGGTGGCCATGCATAGCTCCGGACCTGGCCAAGAGTGGGCTCCTGGTCACCTAGGCCCACGATGAGGATACAGTCGGCCTGGCGCAGGCAGCGCACGGTCCAGGGCGTGAGCGATGCATCGGTTTGGTAGAGCACAATGCGGTGCGTGTCCTCTTGCTGGGCCAGCCACCCTGACAGCCGGAACTCCTGGATGCTAGCATGGAATGGGGGGAGGGCTGACTAGGTCTTGTACTCCCCAGAGACAGAGTCCCTGGCTCGGAGGAGCTTAAGGCCAAGTGCCACCACAACCATCCAATGAAATATCATGCCCCAGGGGAAGAAGGTTCACCCCTTGCCTCCGAACTGCCCTCCAGGTGGGGTGTAAACTCCAATTCAAAGCTTGGCACTCCAACCCAATCTGGAGGAATCTAAGGCTCCAGAGATACTCCCTACCTCCCAGCATCCCCCCCCACTGGCTCCTTGCTGTCTTTTGTGATACCCCACACACCTATCCAGCGCAGAAGCCCCCAGGCGAGCCCGGATGATGTCGCTGTTGAGGAGCAGTGTGGGGCCTACAGTAGGTGAGGAAGGGAGGTTAGGAACTAGACCACAGCCCCAGGGAGGGCGCCCCCCTCCCATTCCTGTCCCCACCCCTGTTCCCACCCACCTCACTCTCAGGGAGGCAGTCCACCCGATGACTGACTCCCCCCCCAACACACACACTGCTGGCCCATCCCAGGGCCCAGGGCTGACTCTCAGCTAGGCCCCTCACTGACCAATAGCTTGTAGAGCGTGCTGCAGCTCCAACGTGAAGGCCATCATGGGCACCTCAGCACACACCGGCAGGACCGCCACCGTGGACAGGTTGCTGGCTGGGTTGGTGAGCTCTGAGTGCGGGGGGACACCCAGCCCAGAGCCTGCCAAGACCACAGAGGGTGAGATTCACTGCACGACCCATGTCTAGAGAGGTATATGTCTTCCTCCTCCTCCTCCCCTCTCTCCCAGCCAGCCACTCCAAGCCCTTACTTGATCCCATTCAAGGCCATTAGGGTCTGAGCCCACAGTTCTGCCACAAGTGCCCTGATTTCCTTAGCAGGATCCCACTACACAGCTTGGTATTCATTGCAGCAGTATAGACACACGGGGGCTCCCAGCCCATCTGGGCGTGGGCTCAAAGTAGGCAGGAAGGAACACACCTCTGACCAGTTTACTGTTCCCAGCTGCCCCACCACCAGCATAGGCCAAGCCCTCAGACCTTGCCTCTTGCCTAGACCTCACTCTGCCCTTGCTGGCTGGATCCTTGCCCCTTGTGCCAGCCATAGTAGCTCGAATGTCCAAGTAAGGCCCCCAGCTCCTGTATAACTCACCTCTAATATTTTTCCTTGTGATACTGAGGTTTGAACCCAGAGTCTCGTGAATGCTAGATGACGGGCAAGCACTCTGCCCTCGGCTAAACCCCAGCCCTTTCTGTGTACTCTGTGAGTAATCAATTCTCTGCCACTGCTGCTCCCACGAGCACAGGGATGGAGAACGTTACAGCCAATGGGGTGGAAGCTCCTCAGGGAACCTGGTCTCCACCATATAGAGCCTCAGGCCTACATCTCAGCGTGCCTCAAGTCCGGCCCACTCCCTACTTTATCCTCGTTCAGAAATCACAAGTAGGGGCATGGATTCACACCTCCCACATGCTGCTACTGTCAGAAGCCACTTCCCAACATGTCCTGAACCCTAACCGTCACCCACTGCCTCCACATGCCACCATACTTTTGAAAACACTTTTCCCAGTATGTGTAGGGTGGTGCAGCAACCTCTAACATTGGAACCAATCTTTTCCTTTAAGGCTCCACCCTCCAGTAGGACTGCCACTTGAGTCCATCAAATAAAACTCCATTTCCCAGCATGCACTGCCTCGGGCTCCACTTCCGGCTCTATCCCCACCCCCAGCTTGATTCAAACAGCGAAGTTTCCCCACATGCCCCCCCATAAGGCTTCCCCTCCCAGCATCCTCTGGGCACCGGACTACATCCCCCAGCATTCCCCGGAGCCGACCCACTCTCACCTGGGAAAGGTCCTTGCAGCTGCTGCAAATTCCCTAGAATTTTCTGGCTCAGGAGGTGAATAAGGCGGGTCACAACCTGGAGACATGAAGTATTGTGGTCAACTATGCGATTCCACCACACCCCTATTTGAGCTCCTGGGGTCCCTACTACCTCGGCCCCGCCCCCACAGGGCAGTTCCTTTCTAGCTCAGGCCCCGCCCTGGCCCGCCCCCCACCTGCCACGCCCACCGAAGCACACACCTGCGGGTAGCGCCGTTTGATGTGGCCCAAAGTGCCCTCGGGGAGTTTAGCCAGCTCTGTGTCTCGCACGGCATGCACTGTAGTGGCTCGCGGCTGCCGCGTCAGTGCCTCCACCTGTGTACATGACGGTGTGCTTGGGGCTGGGAGGCTGACCGTGCGTGCAGAGGAGGGCCCCCAAGGTGGGGTGCAGAGAACCAAGCCTCGCCTGCTACCCGCTAGGGCCCAGGACAGAGGAAGAGGACAGGAATCTGTAACGGGTGGGGATCCCCTAAGAAGAACCTAAATAGACACCAAGGGCCAAGTCAGATCAGACTGTCACTCCAAAGAACTGGGAGCTGATGAAAGAGGACCAGGTAGGGGCGTACTTGCCACACTGTCAGATTACAGATAACCAGAGACTGGGGGGGGGATGGGGGGCTCACTCACCACTCCGATGAGGTCCCCGCGGCCATACTCTCCCACCAGTTCCTTCTTGCCACTTCCCCTCTGGATGACGCTGCGTAGCCGCCCGTTGAGCACAATGTAGGTGCAGTCGGAGCGGTCGCCCTGCCTGGGGGACGAAGTGGGTGGGGTTGGGGGGGTCAAGCAAAGTGGGGGTCCTGTCCTAGGCAAGTCCTGAGCAGCGAGGTGGGAAGGATTCGAGAGTGCACCTGTACAGGGCGCGTCCAGCCTCCACCGCTGTCCAGTCGATGGCGAAGTCCATCTGGCGCACGAAGGATGACATCCTGGCGGCCACTGTATGCGCTGCACTGAGGACCACGCTGGGCTGTGCGCGCATGATCCTGTGGGAGAGGGAGTGGGCGGAACAGGTGCTGGCTGGGGGACCAAAGAAGGAAAGCTCGAAGTGGAGAGGCCAGGTCTGGAGGCTCTTCTCTGGCCCCATCTGGAGAGTTAGGGACCGGGGCTCCTCTGGGGCCTCCCCAGTGCCTCGTCCAACCCAACCCCAGTCCAGCCGTACTCATAGAAGTCGGACTTGGAGATCCGCAGGAAGGTGCAGTCACGTTGGGCACGCAGTGTGAAGATGAGGGGCTCCCCTGTGAGTACCGCCAGCTGCCCCACCAGCTCCCCCGGCTGCGCCACGAACAGGCACACATCCTCCGCCTTGTCAATCATGCGCTGGTACACGTGCAGGCAGCCCCAGAGCACGAAATGCAGGCTCACGTCCTGTGTGGATAGGGGCGGGAGAGACGCAGAGTCAGCTGCAGCACCCCTACCAACCAACCAGGCCCTTGTGCCCCAGGGAGGAGTAAAGGGAAAAGGGTTAAAAAGGCTGGAGATTTTGCACATGAGCAAACTACACACTTCTCTTGGGATCCAACAGTGACTGGGCCAAGGACCCCAACTCGATGGTGCTGAGAGCCTTAAACAAGATGGTGTGGTGTCTGTGTAAAGCATGCCCACATGCTCCTACAGGCTTTGAAGAGTTGCTGGACGATCCACAGAGCCCACACAACGCAAGCGCCATGTTTACACTGTATAATTACACAGAGGACATGTCCTGTATGCTCAGCACAGATACCTATCAAAGGCCCGACTTTGTGGACTAAAGCCATGAAAGTGGAGGCTGAACTGACATACTGGATTGACAAACCCTTAGCCTGGATTAAGTTCTCTTCAGAAGAACCAGCAGGAGGCTGCTAACAGCCAGGACAGCTGGGGGTGTGGCCCTGGGCTCTGTCCCCACTACTGCACGGCTACACATCGGACTCGCTGAGCGCAAAGTCCTCCTTTGCTAAGTGACTGGATGTACACAGGGAGCTGAACGCCCTATCAAAACGGATCAAAGATACTGATACGAGGAGGAAAGCTGCAGCACTCTTAGAAGAGTTTTGTGCTACTGAAGTGGTGATAGACCCTCAGACAGGCCACCAAAAAGCAGAAACAAGCAAATTAAAAATAAGAGCCAGGGAGGATGCAGCTCAGCGGAACAGCACCTGCCTGTCAAGCGTGAAGGCACGAGTTCAATTCCAGGTACAAAAATACAAAAGCCAGCTCTTATGCTCCCCAAAGAGCCAGTCGTTATATTACTGTGCTACCTGCAACCCATGTTTACAGCAGCACAACTCGTAAAGTAAAAGCTGGGGAGTGGCCTATATGCCCACCAAGTGGAAAAAAATGGGGTATTTCTACGTCATAGAGTGCCATCCTGCCATAAAGATAAACCTGAGTCATGTGTAGTCATTTTACATCAAGTGAATGCATCCTATTAGGCGAAATAAGCTTAAATATCGCACAGCTGCTAACCAGGACACGAATTATAAAGTTCAAAAAAAAAGGAACTAGAGCTTTCGTGAGTAGGAAGTGACCATGAGATGAGGGGTGGAAGGGGACAACAAAAGGCATGAAGATGCGTTCACGCATGCACCAGCTCCTTACAAGGAAGATAAACTGCTGCAAACACGGACTAATAAACAATTTTAAAAGTCCACCGGGCACGGTGCTGCATGCCTGCAACCCCAGACAAGCCTGGGCTACAAAGCGAGCTCAAGGCCAGCCTGAACCTCAGAGGGAGACCCTGTCTCAAAGAGTCAAAAAAATAAAAATTAAATAAAGAGAAATCAGAAGAATGGGAGAAAATATTCTCAACTCTTTCATCTGAAAGAATTTCTACCACCCAATAATGAAAAGACACAAAGTCCAGCCACAAAGTGGGCTAAAGATCTACAACATTTCTCCAAATGCGTTCAAGCAGCTAGTGCATACCTGAAAATACACTCAAAAAATTATGAACAGTCGGGGAAATGTGAACCAAAACCAGAAGGAGCAGTCACCTCACACCCAAGAGGATGGTGGCGGATGTGGAAAAGTTGGGGGACTTGCACACTGCACCAGGGATGGAAGATGTTGCGGGTGCTCTGGGGAAAGTTAAAAGCAGTCTCCCCCAAAGTTCAAGGACAGTTGTGTATGAGCCAGAAATGCAACTCTGAAGCCCCCAGCTGAACACAATGAGGGTGTGTCCAGACAGAAGCTTTTATGCACATGCTCATGGCAGCATTGTTCACTATAGCCAGAGGGAAAACAAACATCCAGCTAGAGATAAATGGGGGAACATAACACGGTCCATCCACGTGATGGATTATTCAGCCATGAAAGAACAAAGCCAGCACACGCTATGACACAGATGAGCCCTGGGAATACACTGCAGAATCTAACACAAAAAAACACATGTTATATGAGCCTGCCTACATACGAGGCCTAGGTCAGGCACATCCAGAGATGGGAAGTCAGGCAGTAGCTTCCAGGAGCTGCAGGAGCCAGGGAGCAGGAAGCTGGTAGCTAAAGGGATGGGATTTCTTTAGCTAAAAACATTCAAGCTGGGCATGGTGGTACAGGCCTGTGATCCTAGCACTCGAGAGGCTGAGACAGGAGGATTGCTGTCACTTTGAGGCCAGCCTGAACTATGTAGTGAATTCAAGGCCAAGTGGGACCCTGTCTGAAAGATTAATTAAATTAAAATGTTCTACAATTGTAGTAAGAGTCGGACAACTCTTTGAATATAAAAACAGCACTTTGAGTGGGTGAAGTGTATGGGATATGAACTGCATTTCATTAATAAGGTGATTTCATTAATAACTGCATTTCACTCCCCCCCCCCAAACACTCCACTTCGCCCCTTGGCACTTACTCTACTCAAGGCCAGGACTTCTTTTTGTTTCCTAGAGATCAACAGGTCTCTTCTCACCACAGGACATTTTAAACATTCTATTTGGGGCTGGGGAGATGGCTCAGTAGAACAAGTGTTCTCCCTGGCAAGGGCCTGAGTTCACTCCCTGGTTCCACCAAAAAACAAAACAAAAAAAACCATTCTCTCATTCAGTCTCTCTCTCTCTCTCTCTCTCTCTCTCTCTCTCTCTCTCTCTCTCTCTCTCTCTCTCTCTCTCTCTCTGACACCCTTCCTCCTCCTCCTCCTCCTCCTCCTCCTCCTCCTCCTCCTCTTCCTCCTCTCTAACTAGAGGCCAGGCACAAAGGGCACCATGGGGTAAGCCAGGCTCTGTAGTCCCAAGAACACCTCCCCAGTGCACTCAGCCCTCAGGACTCTAGCAGGACTTGGGGAGCCCTCGGGAGTCACACCCACCTGCACAGCAAGCACCCCAGAGTGCGACCTCACTGAATGGTTTTCTTGCCTCTTACCCACAAATCATGCAGGGCCTGGATATGGCAGATGCTCAATGGCCCGAGGACTGTCCTTTCCCTGTTCAGCCTGACCAGCTTCCCTGCTCTATCCACTGTAAATCAGGAACTGAAACTGTCCCAAGGTGGAAACCTCCTGCCCTTTCTACCACCCCAACCTGTGTGATACCTGCCAAAGCTCCACCCAGTGGAGCCCTTTGGGGGCCCCCTGAGTGGGACCCAGACCTAGGCATATTGAGACAGCAGGGGCCTTCTGAGACAGGATTTCTGGGCTGTGTTTGGGGTTCCCATGTGGGCATTACTGTAAGGCCACCTGTCATCACACTGGGGTGCATGTCCTAACTCAGGACTTTTCAGAGCCTTGAAGGCCAGAGTGGTGTGCATGGACAGCTTCCCAGCAGGGACAGGACAGCACTGTCCAGCCCCGTCTGACCTCTAACTGGTCTGCAGCAGAGGTAGGGAGAACCCCTTACCAAAATGCGTGGGCACAGAACCGTCTCTGCTTTTCCTGGATCTGGGGGTACGTGCATAGATACAGTGACGCATCTTGGGGACAGGACCCCAGTCCAGACACAGAGTTCATTCATGTCCCACACACACGTGACACGTACAGGCTGAGGGGCACTTTCTGCACTGGCTTCGTTTCGTGCTCCTGCAGTCTAGCTCAGAGCCATCCTGTCAGGTCGGACTGGGAAATTTCCACCGTGCCAACCTGTGGGGCTCAAGAAGGCTCGTACTTCAGAGCTCTTTGGAGTTTATATTTTCAGATGAGGGCCACTCAGCCCATACAGATATCCTATAAAACACACGTGGAGGCATTTTGGAGTTAAGGATGGCGTCTTGGCATTGACACTATCGAGACTTTTTCTTTTTTTGTGGCTCTGGGGTAGAAGCCTAGGACTCGTGTGGGCTACGTATGTGCTGTACCCTGGCTGCACCGCTAACCTAGATAATTAGGAAAGGATAATTCTTTGCATGGTCTTGTTTTGTTTTGTTTCTCTAGATTTTTGAAACAGAATCTCTCTATGTAGTCCAGCCTGGGCTCAGACTCACAGCAATCCTCCAGCCTCAGTCTCCCGAGTGCTGGGATGGCAGGCGCGCACCATCCCGCCCAGCTGCCCCGCTTACTCTGGCCTGCCTGGCCTCTGACACACTTAGTGCCAGAAACACATTCCCAAACTGTGACAACCAAAGATGTCTTGACACTGGCAAACGAGGCACAGAGTCACCTGGTGTCAAGTTTCGGAGAGAACCAGAGATCACTAGGCCCTAAGCAAGCCCACAGAACTCCAACAGGCCCTCAGGGAGGGCTCGGGTGACCACACCTCCTCAGCCTGACCTTTGAGCACCGAGACAGAGCACAAGCCTTACCCCACTTCCTCATGTGGTGAGGGTCACCCCAGCAAGTGACACAACCCACAGCCGGCCAGTCAGTGTGTGGACTTCCCGGCCCTGGCACCCACCCGGATGTACTGCCGGGTCCCAGCTTAGCATGTGGCTGGGTCGTCCCGAGCCTGGGTGCTGCACCTGCTGGCTGGGTCGTCCTGGGCCTGGGTGCTGCACCTACCTCTAAGCTTCCCCTCCCAGGCCTGTCACTTCTGCAAACCTTCCACACACCCATTGCATAGAGGAGGAAGCTGAGACCTTTCCTCATCGTTGGCCTAGTGTCACCCAGGGAACCGAGACAGTCTGGGTGTCAACTCTCTGCCACTCACTCTGGGGCCCTGCTCCACACCACAGCAGGCCTCAGTTCTCCCTGTCAAGAGCGGGCCCTGCCAGGAGGCTCTGAGGCTGGCTTGTGGTAGTAAGTCCTACTGCCACTTGTACCTGTTTACTAGTCCAGTACGAGCCGGCATGGGGGCCAGACGTAATAACGGGATACAATGCTGGAGATAAAGGCTGCAGGCAGAGCTGAGACAGGTAGAAAAGACCTAGGAACCAGGGGAGTGACTCATGCCTGCAATCCCAACCATACAGGAGGCCAAGGGAGGAGGATTTCAGGTATGTGCCCAGCCTGGGTGAAAGCCTGTCTTTATGTTAAAAAGATTTAAGAACAAAACCTAGAGGTAGTGATGCACACCTGTAGTCCTAGCACTATGGCAGGCTGAGGGAGGATCACAAGTCCAAGTCCAGCCTGGGCAACTCAGTGCCTCAGCAAGACCCTGACTCAAAATCAAAAAAATAAAAAAAGGGGTGGGGGCTGAGGACTGTAGTTCAGTGCAAAGGTCCTGGGTGTAGCCCCAGTACCATAAAGAAAATTAAAATGGCTGGGTAGAGTATCCCTGGGTTCAGTGAGCTCATGGGTAGAGTATCCCTGGGTTCAATCCTAGTACCAAAACACAAAAATACATTTAGGAGTTCCATGTTTAGAAGTGAATATTTGCGGGCTGGTGAGATAGCTCATGGGACTAAGAGCTTGGCTAGGCAAGTACAGGGACCGGGGTTCAATCCCCAGCACCACATGCCCTGCTGGCCCCACCCCTGGGCACACTGAGTCAGCCACCTAGTCGTGGTGGCACACACCTATAATCCCAGTGCTGGGGAGGCTGAACACAGGAGGATAACTACGAGTCCGAGCTGTGTAGTGAGACTCTGTACCAAATATATAAAATAAATGATTAAATAAAATGACATTAGAAAAATAAGAGAAAATTTGTGTCTCAGAGGTCATGGGCTGGAGGTAAAGGATAATGGCCCTGAAATCATAGGATCAGAGGTCTACCCTGTATGTGGAGAGAAGGGATTGGGTACCATATCAAAGGTCAGGAGACAGAGGTCAGAGGGGGCAATCTTAGGTCCCGTGGTCAGAAGTCAAGGGTCAGCCTCACCTGGTCCCCCTGGCGGGCGATGATGGTGCCGGCCTTGGCATGGTGCAGCAGGACGCGGCTGTTGAGGAGCGAGGGGTCCTGTGGAGGTGCGGTGGGGGTGGTTGAGCCAGTGCAGCCTCCCCTCCCCTCCTGGCCCCAGCCCGCTGCCCTCCCTCTCAGCCACCCACCTCGATGCGCATCAGCTTGGCCAGCTCCCGCTTGGCCGCCTCAAAGATGCTGCTGGTCTGGCGGCCTTGGTAGGGCCCAAAGGGGCAGCAGCCACCTGTGGCCAACTCATCCTCACAGTAACTGTACTCACAAGCCCCCGCTGGCTGCTCCCGGGGCTCCTGGGTAGGGGTCTGCAGGGGGCAGGACCAGTCATCTGTAGCACGTGCTCCTAGCCACGCCTTTCAGCCCAGACCCAGGAGGGGACTTCCATGGGGTGGTGGACAGGGGTACTCACCCGAGCAGGGGCTGCCTGGGGTCCTCCAGAAGCCTCCTCTTGCAGGGACATGGAGATCCGGCCTCGTTCATAGGCCATATCAAAGTCTGAGCAGGGTCCGCCCTGTAAGCCTGAGGGTGGACAGGGACGATAAAAATGACAGGACGACTGCGACCGCAGCTGCATGCAAAGCCTGACCAGGCACCGAGGGCCACGGCCAGAGGAGACATGAGCGATCGACGGACCGCAGGGTCAGAGCAGCACAAGTGCCACCGGCCTCTCCGTGATGCACAGGAGAAAAACGGACGTGGGCAGACAGCCGCACTGCAGCCAGGCAGCTCCAAGTCCTCTCCCCACCCACCCCGCAACCCGCATGCTCCAAACCTGCGATGTCCACGGGCATGGAGACACAGCGGCTCAGCAGAGGGGCGGGGGCCTCCGGAGAGGTGGGCTTTATGGGGTCCCCTGGGGGAGACAGAGGCTCAGGCTCCTCCCAGCACAGCCCACAGACCCAGGGACAGACTGGGGACCGGAGCTTGTGAACTAGGACAAACACTGCCAAGGGATTCTTCCAGCTGAAGGCCAGTCCTGGGGCCAAGAGGCAGATCAGCGTGGCTTTCGGGTGCCCCCAGCCTCGGATCCCAGGGAGCCATGCATGGTCAGCGCCATTACCTGCAGGTACAGGCAGCGGGGCCCCCGTGGGGTCAGGTGGCCGGCCGGGGGCCTCCCTCGGCTCCTCGGTGGCTGAGGTGCTGACCACCCGCTTGGAGCCTCGCACGGGGCTGGTCCGGGATGGGAGCCCAGGGCTGGGAAACAGGCGAAGGGGCTGGATCTCCTGTAGGCAGTGGGGAAGTAGAGAGCTGCTTGGAGCCTGTCAGGAGAACCCATCCTGCCAGACGCCCCCTTGGGCTTTCCCCCAACTCACGTGGCTGAAGAGCTCGTTGGTCAGACCCAAGTAGTTGTGAAGGGCCAGGAAAGTGACTCTCTGCAGCCTCACCATGATAATCTACAGGGGAGGGGCAGGGCCAGAATGGGTGGGGTCAGATGGTGGGAGGGGTCAGGGCAGGGGGCGCAGTTGGCAGTGGGTGGGGCCAGGGTGCCCAGGGGAAACCCACTATCTGAACAATGGGGTGGTGCCAGCAGGCCTGGGGAGGTCTGGCTGTCCACCAGAGATAACCACAGAATAATAACCACAGATCCAGTGCCTGGTGCGAGTGTGGGTTGGGAAGAGGGTGGGGAGGTCAAGGCCCTCTGACCTGCACCACTCGCACCAAGCTCTCTGGGTACTTGGTGAAGACAGCGGAAAAGGCCTCCACGGGAAGCCGCAGCACTGTGGAGTCCCGGGCTGCCCGGGCTGACACAGTCCTCTGAGGATGCTGGTGGCCCTGGGAAGGAAGGGGGAAAAGAGAAACAAGCTCAAGGACTTCCTCGCCCCTTCCTCAGCCCATTCTTGTGCCTTTAGGGCTGATCAGAGAGGAGTCCCCATTGTCCTCTTGTCCCAGCCCCCGCCCCACCTTCCTGCAAGTGCACAGGGCACTCACCGTGATGACATCTAGGATACTCAGCAAGCTATTGACGCTGTCCCCAGGGACCACTTCCTTCACAACACACTCCTTCCCATCCTGAGACACAAGGGGCCGTGGACCAGTGTTGGCCTCCCCTTGGTGACCAGCACCCTGCCCTGACTGTGGCAGGTCCCCAACCTTAGCACCAGAATGTTCTCTGGGCCTCTCGCTGGGCCTGCCACTCCTCCTAGCCAGCACCACTGCCCACCCAGAGACCACCTCGGAGAGTCCCCCACTCCCCCAACTCCAGACTACGCAGCCCCAAACTACCACTCCCTGCTGACCTGCAGCAGCGTCTGACCCAGGACCTCCCCAGTGCCCAACTCTCCCCAGTGGCCGCAGACGGCCCACTCACAGGTCCTGGTAGGCAGAGCTCCAGCAGCCCATCCTGCACCACGTAGATGCTGGCGTCGGGCTGGCCTGGCCGGAAGACATAGTCTCCCTGGCTGAGCCGCTGGAAGACCATGTGCCGACACAGCTCCAGGAAGAGTGGCTTCTCAAAGTGGCCGAGCACCCTGGGGATGGACATGGGGCAGTGACACAGGAGCTCAGGGCAGCCCCAAGCTCCGCAGGGCACCCCTATACCTCCCCGGGCCCAAGCACTGACCGGACATTCTTGAGCATATAGAGCACCTCGGAGGGCAAGTGTGAGTTGGCCAGGTCGCCCTCTGTCAGGTCGGCCTCCAGCACTGAGGGCGGGGGCTCCTTCCGCTGTAGTGTGGGGGCTTCCTTCTGGATGCGCAAAATCCTGGTGGGAGGAGGAGGGTGAGGGACAAAAGGAGAGGGCTCAGGCAGACAAGACCCCCACGTGGCTCCCTCCTCCATTCCTAAAGCACATTTTGGCCACTAGCCAATTTCAGCCCTCTACTTGTTTTTTCCAAATACGAGTTTTGTGGGCACGCGACTGCATCCGCTCATTCACAGCGCATTCACTGTGGCTTTGGTAACACACAGCAAAGTCCAGCAGTGAGACAGAGGCAGCACGGAGCCCACAAAGCCGAAAACGGTCACTGTCTGGCTCTTTACAAGAAAAAATAAGGCCCTTGACACTGTCCTCAGATCACTCCTCCATCAGCAATAGGTGCCCAAGATGGACCCCCTAGTTTTTGTTTGGTTGGTTTTGTTTTGCCTCTAGTTTTAACAGCAGACCCTGTTATAGCTTCTAAGATAATATGGGCAGGACCTCAAAAGAGCACCATCCCCAGAACTCTGGAGGCTGAGGCAGGAGCATCGGGGTATGTTGGAGGCCAGCCTGCGCTACATAGTGAGTTCAAGATCAGCATGGACTACATAGTGAGCCCCTGTCTCAACAAAAAAACACAGTCCTGAGGCACGCTTTCTAGTAGTCACAAAGAGACAGCTTCCCTAAGGTGGCCATGCTCTGAGGTTTCTTCTGTTACGAGAAGATCCTAAATACTGCATCTTTTTTGTAAAGATACTTGAGGTGCAAACATATCAAAAGAAAACAAAACGAAGAAGTGGGCAGAACACATCCTTGAGGTAGACTTTCTTCCGAGTCTCAGGGAGCCTGGAGGCAGCCCCTCTGCTGGCCACAAGCATTCCTGAGATGCCCCCTTACATGCAGAGAATCCGGACCCAGCGCTCTGCTAATCACCTGCGAGTCTTTCCCCCTAAGTCATAGCAACTGCTGAAAAACGCCCTCCGCTAGCACACGGTCCCCAAGATCATCTCTAGCATGAACATATCCTTGAACTCAGCAACAGAGAAATCCAGATATGAATCTGCTCAGGGAGCCCTTGGGCCAGGCCTCCCCCAGGGTCACAGAGCTAGCCATGAGAGAGCCATCGGGAAGACCTCAGGGTAGCTTAAGGGTGAGCCGTTCCCTTGTGATACAGAGCAACCCAACGCACAGACTCTCCACTGGTCACGGAAACGGAGAGGCCGCACCGCTACTTAAATCAACACAAAGGCCCAGGACGCGCTGGCTGGCCACAGAAAGTCCTAGAAAACACCCCACGATGAGACCCAGCCCCCAACTGACACAGAGCCCTGGAGCAGCCCACTTAGAGACCTTCAGTTAGCTCTCTGCCGTCCATGGGGACCCCCAAGGTGTCGTCCCTGTTTTTAGTTTCTGAAGTGCCATGTGCTGTCTAAACACTGCTGAGGCCTTTGTACCTCTTGCAAGAGTGCAGCTACAGCTGGCTCTTTCGCAGCCACAGAAACGCCTGAGATGACCACCCTCCCCCTGAAGTTCCTTAGAAGAAGCCCACTAGTGCGAAGTGACTGCCAGTGCAGACCCCTGAATATATAGTAAATAATCTTCAGAATAGCCCTGTGGTGGAACAGCACCGAGCTAGTCCGATAGTCCTCAATGGCCAGAGACCCCAGAAATGATATATGTCTGGTATAGGAGAGCACTAGGATGTCCAGGTGACAGCCCAGCGTGGTCCCTCTGCTGTGGGATGAAGAATCCTGAGGCAGTTCATGGGGTGCAGGGAACCCTGAGATACACGCTTCGGTGAGGGTTGGACTCTTTGGGCCCCTGAAATGTTCCCCAGAGCCAGGCACATTCAGTACAGCCTTACTTCTTGGCAATGTTCAGCATCTTAAGTTTCTTCTTCATGCGTGGCCGCGAAGTGGTGGAGGCAGAGGCGTCCACCAGGGAGGAAGTGGACTGAGACACCTGGGAGAATGAAGGGAAGGATGGTCACTCAGGGACAGAGGAGAGCCAGATCCTGGGCCCTGCTGCAAAGGGGGGCCGGGTCCACTAAAGAGCGTAAACAGGGAAGGGGCGGGGCCTGCGGTGTCCACAGGGGGTCGTGGACTCACCTTCCGCATAATCTTCCGGCCATAGAAAAGCACTTTGTCCCTCTTCCGGAACCGATACCGGGGGCCATCCGGGGCTGGGGTTTCTGGGGGAGAGATGGGAACCCGGGTGCTCTGAACTCTACGCCGACTCCACAGACCCCCACCTCCAGAGCTAAGGGGACCCTGGCATCCCAGCGCCTGCCCCCGGTCTCCCCCGCGGGCCCCCGGGGTCCTCACTCGGCACTCGCAGCCTCCGCACCAGCAGGAGAATGAGCACGGCGGTCACCACAACCGCCACTCCGGCCCCGATCATTACGCCGAGCACCTGCGGGACGAACGGCACTGGCTGCGAACCGCACATCCGTCCCGCCGAGCCCTCCTCGGGGGCCACTTCCGTCCCCCAAGAGGATGCATTTACCCCCTGACTCGGTGTCCCCATCTGCAGAATGGGACAGCTCCACTCTCCCGGGGGGGAGAGGCTCTTCCCTGCGACTGGGTGGCCTGCGCTGCACGCCGGGAAATGTAGTTCAACCGGAACAGAGAAAGCCCCGTTCTCGCGAGATTACGGCAGTGCGCGCTGGGCACCGGGAGTTGTAGTCCTTCGCACAATCCCACCCCTTACCATCCCAGTTTGCAGTGGGGCCTCCATCGGTTGTTTCAAGCTGGGCAGCAGATCTAGTGGCCCGCAGTCCTAGGGAATCAAGGTGCAGAAGGAACCCATGCAGATCGTCAGTCTGGGCCAGACCCCTCCCGGCCACAGGCCCCACCCCTCAATCGAGCCCCACACTTGGCTGCAAGCCCCGCCCCTGGGTACCTTCAGCGTGGGCGGCTTCGCCATTTGCGCTGGGTGGGATGGGCACAGCTGTACATAGAGGCGCTAAGATAGAAGACAGGCGTTAAGCAACCTGACCTTCCGGCCTGGGCCAGGGGATGAGACGCGTCCCTGATGCTTGTCTGGCACCCTTCACCTACATACTGTCATCCGGACGTCCCGTCCATCGGCCGAAGGGTGCTAGTCCTGGCACCCCAGCCAGCAGCCATCGTGCCGGTCCCCACAGGCATGGCCCTCTCCAGCAGGCGGTTCCCTCCCCTGCCTCTGCTTTCTGCAGGACCAATCGATTTCCTAACCCCTGACGATTAGATGCCCTATCCGGGGAAAGGGGGCGGTCAGCCACGGAGTTAGTGCCACACTTGGACGCGTGGCTCCTGAGCCAGCCCGGAGGACCCTGGAACTGGAGGCACCCAGGGAAGGGACCCTGGAGCGATACTAATGGATCCAGGGAAGCTGTGGGTGGGGTGGGCCCGCAAGGTATAGGTTTCAGCTGGGGATTGATTATCCTGGAGAGGTAAAGTCATGGTATCTTTGACGGTGCAGAAATCCCCGGGGCTTCCGGGAGAGATGCTGGCGCCAAGGATGGGAGGTGTAACCGGGGGCGATGAAATTACTGAGAGATGCTGGATGCCGGGTTGCTCAAGGGGAAACCCGAGCTGGGTGGGAAAGGGAAGGCTAGGGTAGATATTGAGGAAAGCTAGAAGATCTCTGGGACGTCGAAGCCTTCTCTGGCACCACTAGAACAGTAAAGGGGCCCTAAGACGCCATTCGTAAAGTTCTTAAGTGCAGACTCCCCTTTCACCCCAGGGCGCACCCGGCTGCCGGTGCAGAAACGTCAGCCAGGAAACTTAGGGGGATGGGAGCATCAAAACGCCGGGAGGTACTAGAAATCAAGAGGCCAGATCTTGGGAAAGCATACGTTCTCTACCGAAAGTTGGAAAGACGCCCCTGGTGGATCAATTCAAACCCAGACTCACCTAGGAGCCGCAGCCAGAGTCCACTCCGCCAACACCGCTAGTTTTCCGCCCGGCTACCAGGCGCTGCCCCTTTAAATTATTCACCGCACGGCGCGCCCCAGCCCCACCCCCTGCCATGCTTGGAAGGTCAGGCCGAGACGGCCCTGCGGAGTGTGGCTGTGCCTTAAAGGGACCAAGGACGCACCGGCGCATGAGGGGTCTTGCCACTTACAAAGGAAAACAAGTTTCTTTTCCTGTTTATTTAACACCCTCCCTATTTTCCCCCTCCCCTCCCCTCCCCTGTGTCCGCCCCGACTGGCCGTGGCAGGCGGCCAATCTTTAAACCGAAAATAAATAAGCAGCGGGGGCTGGGGGGTGGGGAGAATTTGGGGAGCCCGGGACTCTGCAGGATGAAGTCCAGCGGCAGCGGCGGTCCAGTCAGTTCACCAGCAGCGTGTGGTCCTCCGGTGTCTCCCTGGAGGAGAGGAAGGCTGGTCGGTTTTCTCTAGCACACTTCCCTTCCCCCTCGACAGCCCTACTCTGCACCCGAGGCAGACCCGAACCTTCCGCAGCAGCACAGCAGGCTGCAGGCTGAGCCGCTCCCGCGACGGAACTTGCCAGACGTGGGGCTGTCCTGGCACTGTGCGATATAAGCCTGGAGCTCGCTCTTCTCTGCGCCCGCGCCGTCGGGGTGCTGGGGAGGGGCACCGGGAGGGCCGCGAGAAAGGCCCATTGAGGTCGCCCCTGCCATTGGCATCTCCTCGGGGTTCCTCCCATCACCACGGAGACTGGACATCGGGGCCTTTGCACTAGCTCAGCCCACCTCTTGTTCCTGCCATGTGCTTACATGGAGCACCTTTCCCTGACTTCTGAATTTGGCCCGTGCCTCCTTTTGACAGCTTGGTGCCTTTTGTAGAGGGTCTCCCACAACCCAGGTGCTTGGACATCCAGGGAGAACCTGGGGGCAGAGCAGATGCTACCGACCTCAGAGACCAGGTGGCTCCTAGGCCCCAGTCAGGAACCTGGAGGGGGCGCAGGTGGCAGGGGTAAGCACATCTGCCAGGTACAGGACGTAGCAGTAGCAGGCCCCATTCCAAACCTTCCTGCTCTCAACCCCCCAGACCCGCCATTTGCTCGGAGTCCTTCCTGGCTAATAGGGCTTTGCATCTGCATTTCCTTCCCCAGGAGTGCTGCCCCTTGGCCTCCCCTCTTCAGGCTAGGCCTCTGGGACACGACACGTTGGGAGTGCACCATTATCTCAGCTGGTGGTGGCCAACCTATGGCATGGGTGCCACAGTAGGCCTTTATCACTGAGCATTCTAGAAGGTTCGCCACCACGGTCCTAGGCGAACTTGCAGCTGCTAGCCACATTGGCTTTCTGGACTTGATATGTGGGTGGTCGAGAGCATCCAATTGAATTTCATCTTTTAAAATAAATTACATTTGAAGTCAAATTTTAAGTAGCCCGTGTTGCCGGAGATGCCTCATGGACAGAACTTTCTAGAAGCTCTCCTGGATCCATTTTAGAACAGAACTCATGGCTCAAGCTAGATGTCCCTTTAACGCCTCATGCACCCAAAGTGGGGGCTTTTGAAGGGTAACCATATCACAGGAGTGCTGTAGCTGAATGTGATGTTAGGCAGGAAGGCCTGGTCAGAAAAGGAGGGGCCCCAGGGGCATGTCCTGGGGGGGTCTAGCTCAGAGTCTGTCTGCTTCCGGAGCACCATAAGGTGAGATGCCTGCCCAGGTCTTCCCACCACGCCACCTCTGCCGGGAACCTGCTCACCACACAAGGACTGAAAGCTCTAGAGCATGAGCTAAGGTAACCATCCTTTCAGCTGCAGCTTTGAGGCACTTTGTCCCCGTGATGAGGAAAGTGACTAAGACAGGAATCTTCGACATAGCCTTTCTACCTGTCTCCAGCCAGTCACTGGCCACTGGCCCTCCATTAGTGTATCATCCATCTTGCCCCTGGCTTTACTTTCCTTGGTGTCCAGCACAGAGCCTGGCCCACCAGACGCCCTGGTCCATCTGCTAAAAGAACCCTGTCTGGGATATAGCTCAGTGGCACGAGTGCCTGCCAGGCAAGTGCAAGGTCCTGAATTCGAATCCCAGTACCAGCCCAGCACCCTCCCCCACACCACCTGCTTTTAGCCCAGGTGTGGTGGCGCACCCCTATAATCCCAGCACTGAGGAGGCTGAGGCAGGAGGATCACTGTGAATTTGAGACCAGCCTGGACTACAAAGTGAGCTCAAGGCCAGCCTGAACTGCACAGTGAAACACTATTTTAACAAGACCAAAACAAAAAGTAAGTAAATCAATCCTGCCCTCGGCCGCTCTTGCATCCTGCTTTCTCTGACTGTCAGCCTGCAGGAACCCCACTGCTCCCAGCCTCCCCAGTAGTCACAGGTTAGGAGCACCTCTTCTGGAGTCCCTGCCTGCGGCTCAGCGGCCAACGCTGGGCAATTCCCAGAACTCTGACCCCATTTCCTGCGGGTAAGGCACACGCAGGAACCTGCTCCACCTTGACAGCACTGGGGTGGCATCTGCGCTCCCTGCGGACCTCGATTCCAAGCCACCTTTCCCTTGGACTTTGCAGTGTCTCCCACGTACTGCCCAGGACCCTCCAAGGCAGGCAGCCCGTGCACCAGCACGTCAGGCCCAGGAGTGGCTGACCTTGATGGTGTCGTAGGCCCCTGTGATAAGCGCGATGAAGAGACTCAGCACCATGTAGATGAAGAGGCTGATGAAGGAGTAGAGGTAGAGCTGGGAGAAGAGCCACACCAGGCTGCTGCGGCCCTGCTGCGCCTGCATGGCTGCGAATGTCACGAACATGTCGTCCCCGTTGATGAGCGAGAAGAGGCACTCAGACACCATGGACAGCGAGCGGAACTGCAGGCGGTGAGAGGACCAGTGATAGAGTGCAGCGGGACATGATGCAGATGGGAGGATCACAGGGTCCATGTCAGGCCACAGGGGACAGGCAGCAAAGCTGCTGCGGCGGGTGCAGTACCAGAGGGGCTCATCAAGGCCTCCACAGAGGGACTGGGGTTCCAACTCAAGGGAGGGGAACTAGGGACCCTGCGGCTGTGCCCCTCAGGCCCTGGACCCCCATACCTTCACGTGGTAGGGCCCCAACACAATCCAGCCACAGAAGCAGTAGCCCAGGTAGATGACGGCCACACAGCAGCAGAAGCGCATGACGCTGGGCAGCGCCACCCGAAGTGTGGCGATGAGGATCTGGGGGGCAGAGTGACCCCGTTGAAGGCATGGCAGGGACCCAACCTGACGCTCAGAGGGGGGAAGAGATAGGGGGCTCACAGCTGTGGCTGGAGGCTGGGGAAGAGTCTGGAACAGGCATGCATGTCCTGGGGGCCCTGGAGGACCCAAGGGTGCCCTATTGCCAGGAGAGGGCAAGAGGGAGGCTCCCATGGCCCTGTCTGGGTGCAGGGACGGGTGAAATTGGGGTGGGCAGGTATAGGAAGATGCTCGTGGCCAGCCATCACTAGGGACTGGGGGCTGCTTTCACAGGAGGGTTTATTTGGTGGGGGGAGGAGTTTTGATGTGAAGCTCACATTATACTTGTGGAAGAAGGTCAGATAGCGGATGACGCCCACCCAGACAAGCAATGTGGAGGTGCCCAGGAGGATGCTGCAGACGTCATAGCTGGCCAGGTTCTGGGGGCAGGAGAGATGTCATCGCACTTGTGTCCCCAGCGGCCCCAGCGGCCCTCGGAGGGTTACGGTCTCAGTGAGGCCTGGCGGTGGGGCCAGGATGTGGCGATGAGGCTTGTAGCACAGAGACCAACCTTGGCCTCGATCCCAATCTTCATGATAGTGCCTGACACAGTGAGCACGTCGCTGGTGACCAGCAGGATATACCAGCCATTGACAAACTCCAGCCGCTCCCACAGGCTGATCACCCGGCCCCGCTGCCGCCACATGAAGCCCACGAACTCCTGCACAAGAACACGGGGTCAGGGGTCTCTGCCCAGGCTCCAGACCCTCCAGCCTCCGGCCTCGCAGCCCCACCTTCTGCAGCAGGAAGCCACGGAGCAGCGAGCGGGCGCACAGCAGGAAAGACAGTGAGCACGTGAGGATGACCACCACATCGAACAGTAGCCGGAAACTGTTGTCCTCTGTGGGAGCGGAGGTGGGTAGGACCAAGGGGGCAGCAGCCCCGGGAGGCTGGGACAGAGGCGGGCTGAGGGCTGTGTGGATAGCTTTTGAATTCTACTTTGGAGTTTTTGAGATAGGCTTTCACTATGTAGCGTAGGCAGGCTTTGAACTCAGGGTGATCGTCCTGCCTCAGCCTCCTGAGTGCTGGGATTACATGAGTGCACCACCACACCTGGCTTGTACAGCTGGTTCTGACCCATCAATGGGCTGGTTACTTAGGACAGGGGTGAGGGAGTCAGGACTCGCAGTCAGTCCCAATCTGGGAGCCTGTGGTGGGTTGTTGGCTCAACCTAGAGAAGCACACGCAGGTCTGGCTGGCCTGTGTGCAGGGCTCACCGTGTCTGGAGACACTGGGGTGCTTACACTCCTGGATGTGGGCCCATGTCTCCAGGCGGATGGGTATCCGCCCACTGTGCGCCGTGTTGTCAAACGTGATCTGCAGGGGCCCGGAGGCGTAGGAGGAGGCAGAGTGAACCTGGGCACCACCACGCCCGCCCCATCTCTCCAGATCTGCCTGACAACGGTCGATCTGGCCCCATCAGCCCACACCGCCTTCTTCCACCTGGGCTCTCCAGACACCCTGAGAGGAAGTGGGATCCTCACCAGGATGGTGAAGGTATAGCAGTCAGGGATCTCGTTGTTGATGAGGCTTTGCAGGTTGATG